TCCTTCCCCTTTACCAAGCCACTGTCTACGACGCTTAACATTTCGATAAAAGATCCATTTCTCGTCGCCAGTCACAAGTCTATCCAAAAAAGATGAAACAAGTTGAAACGAGAAGAGCAGATGTCAACTCGGGATTTGAGGTTGTTTTCAGACAATTCATGAGGCACCCATTTTCCAAGTTTAGGAACTTTTCCAAGTTGCTGAAGATGACGATGAACAGTTTTATGGTTTGAACTGAGAACCACTGCCAATTCCTGAACTGATAAAGCAGGATTTTCTTCAAGAGGTACTTCAAGAAGCTTTTCATCAAACTCAACTGGACGTCCGGTTCGATCTTCATCTTCAAGGGTGAAATCTCCACCTCCACATTTTGCAAACCATCTTTTGCAAGTTCTTTCATTCACACATTCCTCTCCATAAACTGAGTGAATGTTTCTAGCCGCTTCGGCTGCTGAGTTTCCTTTCTTGAACTCATAAAGCATTATGTGCGTCAAACGATTCTTGGATACTTCCATGTTAGCAGGGTTTTAATTAAACAAAATTTAATTTTATTGTTCTCTGAAATAAAATTTGATCATTTTAAATGCATCTAAACATAAAAATAATGTTCAGCTCCATTAGACATTATAAAATACTCTTTAAATTTCGTTCATTTTAAAAAAAGTTAAATGGTTCAAAATACTGTCAAATATTAGAGAAAGGAATACTCCCTCTGAAACCAATTAGATTGACAAGAATATCTATCTTTTTCAAGAAGATGGAGCGCCATGTTATACGAGCAAAGTAGCAAAAGCCTGGAAGGAATCGCAAAAAAATCAAGTCACTGTCATGGGTAGCCCAAAATCCTGACATGAATCCGATAGAGCGAATATAGAGTCGAATTCCAGTCGAATCCATTGCATTCACTTACGTTGGGAAAGATATTAATCCTCTTCTTTCAGCTATGTGTAAATAGCAGGACAGACTGGGTTCTATAATCTTGGATGGCAACTGATCTAGAAGAAGGACAACTCTGTATTCAAAACCTGCGGAGGGCCGTTTGGGGACCTTGTAGCACGTAGTGCACCAAGTCTCTGTATTTGAACCTTCAAAAAGTGTGGCTGGTCCTGCAGAAAATCTTCACCACTATAATCAAATCACATGTGCTGGTGTCTGGGTTGTTGGTTCCTAGGAACTGATCTGCTTGACCCTCATACAACAAGAGATTCCACCATATATATATAATTTTTTATAAATCTCCTACTCATTTTTGTTTATTAGGCATTAAACTATATCAGTTCAGATCCATGAACTTGCGTGATCTTTCCGCTAACTTGATGAAATATTCATGAGTACTCTTATAACAAAAATTTTTAAAAAACTATATCATTTTTGCTCTTGATACTTGTAAATTATTTATTTACATTTGCCTTGAGAAAGTCCCTCAGAGGAGGAAACGCGTCGGCTGAGGTAAGTATTCCACTTGTCTTTTTTCACACACACACACACATATCCAATAATATAACACATGAATCGAACCCAATCTAAAATAATTTAAATACTAATTGACATATATGCACATACATAAAAAAAATTAAAAAAACTACCTCTGAGGGAGTTTATCTATGCAAATATAAGTATTTTATTTTTTGACAAGTATTTATATACAAGTACAAGAATATATCCCAAGATGATCAGAAAAAATACAAACAAAAAATATTAAAAAGAAAACGGTTAAATTCTTAACCTTATGTTATTTAAAATACATAACACATAAATCAATGCCAGTCCCAAATCATTTAAATACCAATTTATATATATATATATATATATATATATATATATATATATATATATATATATATATATATATGCATCTATGTTTGCGTTAGCACGATGACATCACGACGACGATTCCCCACACTCCCATAATAACACCTGTACATGCAATCTACATAAACCCAAATGTTTTTAAAAATTAATCAGTTTGTCTGACGATCGCAAAAGCGTGAAACCCAGGGTCACAAACTCACATCAATCCAACCAAATATGTTAGGTCTATCTCTGATATTGAGCGCTTTCTAATAAGTACCGCGCATATATATATATATATATATATATATATATATATATATATTTATTTATTTATTTACATGTATATACACACATTTTTCACACACACACACATATATATATATATATATATATATATATATATATATATATATATATATGTATATAAAATCTCCATCACATCATACATTTCGTGGCCAAGACGATCTAAAACACGTCAAATCTAACGAGGGACCCAGATTGGTATCCTGTTGGGCAGTGCATATTTTCCTTTAACAAGATTTCTCGAATAACCAGGCCGCTAACCAGTCTACTCTGCTATTTAATCCATAGCTGGGCGGTGAAAAAAAAAGGTATTAGTGCGAAAGTCAATGCAACCGTCTCGCCCGGACTTAGAGCCCGGCTCTCTGATATCATTTTCGTTTTACACTTTCCAGGCATCGCAATTGCATATATAATGACAGTACATTCAGGTTATGGGAGGAGGGTCGATGAAACAATAACTAATAATTAGAACAAGACTCGAGCCGAATTAAAAAACATTGAGAGTTATTTTAAGTTATTTGAAATCGTTCATTTAAATTTTTTTGTTGGCTAGTTTTTCATAGTAAGCCGCAGACGCGCATGCTCGTTGGTATACGAGAGCTCTACTTAAAAAAATCGACCAATCAAGTGGTTTCGAAGGTGGGGTGATATATAACTGTTTGTAAAAAGAGAAAGCAGGCATATTTTCGTACAAACTTGATTGATTACTCTTGGATGAACCCCGTTTGAGACAATGTAGGGCTAATGCAGAACAGTTACATAATAGGGTCTTAGAAACAATTAAAATTACAGCCAGTTTGAAGAACAAACTTCAAGACAGTATTTACATTAGTCGGACTATTATCCTCATCTTTGTCGCCATATTTGTCACAACGTTTCGGCCGTTGTACGCTCCGGCTTTCTTCAGGTGGTTGGAATTTCGAACTGAACCCTTTATTTCGATCACTGGATTAAGGACACATGGCACAGTGGATAAAGACGTTGGTTAGATCCAGTGACAGACCCAAAGAATGTGAGTTCAATATCCGGTTAAGGCAGTGGAGAACTTTCAGAGGGAAAATTAGCAGGAGATAACTGATAACTGACATCCATCAAACATGGCACGTGGAACTAGAACAGTCTATCCCAGTGATCGAAATAAAGGGTTCAGTTCGAAATTCCAACCACCTGAAGAAGGCCGGAGCGTACAACGGCCGAAACGTTGTGACAAATATGGCGACAAAGATGAGGACAATAGTCCGAATAATGTAAATAGTGTACATAATACCTCATCTCAGAAATATAGACAGATACTGAAAGGCCGAAACGTTGTGATAAATATGGCGACAAAGATGAGGACAATAGTCCGAATAATGTAAATAATGTACATAATACCTCATCTCAGAAATATAGACAGAAACTTCAAGACATTTTCTTTCTCTCTCTCTCTCTCTCTCTCTCTCTCTCTCTCTCTCTCTCTCTCTACACACACACATGCACACACACATACACAGAGACTCCTTTTTAAGTACGCATAAACAGTAACCGAAATGACCAACTTTTTTACATTAACAAAGCCCAATTGCTTCAAGTAGACTTAAATAGTAAGGGATAAAAATAAGGTTAATTTGCAGTGTAACACCCACGCTCAGTTCATATTACCGTCCTGGGTATGGCGATAACCTGCATCCGCGTCCGGGTAAGACGATAAACTGCATCCGCGTCCCGGGTAAGACGATAAACTGTGTCTGCATCCCGGGTAAGACGATAAACTGTGTCCGCGTCCTGGGTAAGACGATAAACTATATCCGCGTCCCGGATAAGACAATAAACTGCGTCCGCGTCCCGGGTAAGACGATAAACTGCACCCGCGTCCTGGGTAAGACGATAAACTGTGTCTGCATCCCGGGTAAGACGATAAACTGTGTCCGCGTCCTGGGTAGGACGATAAACTATATCCGCGTCCCGGGTAAGACGATAAACTGCGTCCGAGTCCCGGGTAAGACGATAAACTGCATCCGCGTCCCGGGTAAGACGATAAACTGCGTCCGCGTCCTTGGTAAGACGATAAACTACGTCCAACAGCAAAGCCTCCGATCAGGAGGTTTTGAGGAGTGTGGAACCACCTCTTAATTGCTGGTTTTCCCGGCTCCACCCTGACCCGGGGTGGCAGCACCTGTTAGGGTCCCAGCTATGGGCAAATAGTTTACCCCCCAAACCAAGATCCCGCCCTGGGTATGACTATAAACTACATCCGCGTCCTGGGTGGAACAACTACATTGAATCAACAGCTGCATCTACCGCAAGGAAAGTTGGTTCTCTGTGTCGCGCCAGAAGGTTTTCCTCGTCGGAGTCCATCCTTCACATCTACAAATCTACCATTCATCTATGCATGGAATACTGCGGCCGTATATGGACTGGTGCCCCCGCTATTCATCTCGAGGTTCCCAAAATCCAAAGACGGATATGCAATCTGATCGGTCCTGACTTGGCATCTCGACTGAATTCACTTTCTCACCGACATAACGTGGCTTCCCTCTGTCTTTTCTATAAATATTTCCATGGCATCTACTCTGACGAGCTACTTTCACTGGTGAACCGACTGCATGAATTTAAACGTGTCACTAGGTTGGCATCTCTCCCACCCTTTTAATATCGAAAGAGTTAAATGTAACCACCTCTTCTACTCCAACAGCTTCCATCTCTCTCACTTCCCGACAGTGGAACTCCCTTCCTCTTACTCGCTTCCCTGATAACTATAATCTTCAAATATTCAAATGTAATGTCAATCGACATCTTCTGTTGCCTTGACCCCCGTTCTTCTTTTTATCCTTTCCTCACCCCCACCTCATAACCAGTCTTTTCCCTTAGACCCTCCGTAGCCCTTTGCGTACTCGTGGCATTCAAGCCTTGTTTGGCGTGAAATGCTTTTAAAATTCGTTTTCCTTGATTTATTTTTCTGTTTCTTTTTTCCTTTTTCTTTTTCATTTATTTCCACTCATGTTTCTTCCTTTATTTTTTGTTTCTTTTTTGTTTCTTTTAATTTTTCTTATCTTTTCTCTCATTCTTTTTTATTTTTCTGTTTCTTTTTTCTTTTCTTTTACATTTTTCTCCTTTCTCTCTTTCTTCTTTCTTTTAATGTTTCTTTTTTCTATTCTTGTCTTTTCACGCTTTCTTCTTTTTCTGTTTCTTTTTTCATTTCTTTTCTTTTCTTGTCTTTTCTCTCTTTCTTCTTTCTTTTTCTGTTTTCTTTTCCTCTTTATTTTTCTGTTTCTATTTCTTTTCTCTCTTTCTTCTTTTTCTGTTTCTTTTTCCTTTTCTTTTCTTTTCTTTTCTTTTCTCTCTTTCTTCTTTCTTTTTCCGTTTCTTTTTATTCTTTCTTTTTCTGTTTCTTTTTTCTTTTCTTTTCTCTCTTTCTTCTTTCTTTTTCCCTTTCTTTTTATTCTTTCTTTTTCTGTTTCTTTTTTCTTTTCTCTCTTTCTCCTTTTTCTGTTTCTTTTTTCTTTTCTTTTCTTTTCTCTCATGCCTTTTTCTTTATCTATTTTTCTTTCTTTTTCCTTTCTTTCAACCCTTTATCTTTTCGTCTTATTTCTTTTCCCTTCCTTTTCTAATCTCTCTTCTATATTATTTCAATATTTTCCTACCCTCTCTTCAAAAAAAAAAAAAACCTACCCTCCACCGCCGACAGTCACACTTTGCATAACTATCGATCTGGAAGTTAGTAATTTTCAATAACCTTTCATTAATTCAATATGGCAATCAAAAATTCGATTTCTTTTTCTTTTCTCTTTTTTCGATTCTTTCTTTTCTCCTTATCCAGATTCTTTTCATTCAAATGAAACAAAATTTGATTACATCTTTAAAACCTCTCCAAGACGACGAACAAACAAAAATTCACACGACAGCAAGTCGAAGATGGTTATTGCCTGTAAATTGGCACATTCTGCAATGAATTTATTTTAAATTCCGAAAAAAAACAAAAAACAAAAGACTCGGATAATTGCCAGTGGCACTGAATTGGTTTACGCGGGAATTGCAATTGAATGCAATACAGTTGGAGAGTTTCAAACAATTCGCTTGTGGTGGATTCTCTTCTCTACTAATACGGTTGGGGTAGCGGTTATCAGCGAAGAATATGTCATCGGAACGCTGACTTCAAATCGGTTTTTAACTAAATATTCACCCAACTCAAAGCCCAAGAGCCCCTCAAGATAGAGTGTTACTGAATGAGATTCTTGTATAGACAGAGGAATGGAGGTGTAAGTGCAGATTATGAGGATATGTAGGATAAATAACATTTTTACTGGATGCTCAACCAATACAAGACCCAAGAGCCACTCAAGGCAGAGGTTTACTAAATGAGATAGTTGTATGGACATAAAATGAGTGTGTAAATGCAATTAATCAGGATATGTAAGATAGATAACGTTTTTGCTGGGGGTTCACTCAATACAATACCCAAGAGCCACTCAAGGTAGAGGTTTACTGAATGAGATTGTTGTATGGACATGCGGCACAAATGAAGAATTAAATGCAGATTAGGAGGATATGTAGGACAAATAACTTTTTTGCTGGAAGTTCATCCAATAAAAGACCCAAGAGCCACTCGAGGTAGAAGTTTACTGAATGAGATTGTTGTATGGACATAGGGGAGGAATGGAGAAGTAAATGCAGATTATGAGGATATGTAGGATATATTATTTTTTTGCTGGAGGTTCACTCAATTCAAGTCCCAAGAGCTACTCAAGGCAGAGGTTTACTGAATGAGATTGATGTATGGACTTAGGGGAGGAATGAAGAGGTAAATGCAGGTTATGAGGATATGTAGGATAGTTAACTTTTTGCTTGGGAATTTACTCAATAGAAGGCCTAAGAGCCACTCAAGGCAGAGCTTTATTGAATAAGATTGTTTATGTATATAGGAGGAAGAATGAAGAATTAAATGCAAGTTATGAGGAAATGTAGGATTGTTGTGCACTTGTTAGGGCCAGAAATAAAGACAAAGAGAGGAATTGTGTTAAACAAATATATTAACAGAAACAGTAATACAAATATATACAAACGAGAGTGTTACAGCAAGAATGTTCGGTTCGACTGTCAGAGCTGACTGCTGGAAATTTCACCCTCCAAAAGGCAGTACCTGCTCCTGTTTATAGCTGTGAGAGTCCATGCGTGCGCGGGTAAATTACCATAACGAGGATAGATAATTTTTTATTGGATGTTCACCAAATGCAAGGCCCAAGAGCCACACAAGTTAGAGGGTTACTGAATGCGATCGTTGTATGGACAAGGTGAGAAAGTATGTGCAGTTTAGGAAGATTTATTGGATAGATAATTTTTACTGAATTTTATCCAATGCATGACCCAAGAGCCACTCAATGTAGAGATTTAATAAATATGATTATTATCACATGGACGTAGAATGTGGAATTAAGGACTAAGTGTAGATTATAAGGACACGTACAACATGTACCGTTTGACCCTAGAATTAAAGAGATTAAGTTTTTAGAATTCGGGAAAGCGTCCTCTCGGTAGTCGGGTCAATAAAACAGCGACTCTTCAGACATCAATTAAACTTCTTTCTTTACCAATGGAATGCAAAGGTATTGAGGATGGTTCAGTACAGGGTACAGGGCATGGATCGTCTTCGCTGTGAAGGTCTGAACTGATATAACTAAGGAATGTAGTTCGTCGGAACCTTTTCTAGGGAAATAGCGATAGAGTTGCAATAGGGCTTGCATTTTCGGGAGAGTAGTTGTTCATCGTCTAAAAGGTAACGTAGACGTTTTCGGACAAGATTGGAAAGAGAGGATCGTGTAGCTCCAGCCAAAATAGGGCAGTAATACTTCATTTTTTTTTTTTTTTTGATCTGACTCTTGTAAACGGTTAACTATTCCCGAGCTGCTACCCATCTAGATACTGACCAGGCTCGACGGTGTTCAACTTCGGTCATCGTACAGGAACCGCTGTTTCCACGTGATGCGGCCGTAACCCAAATAAAACCTTGTCTGTCTTTCAGTTGAGTTTTGGTGTTTGATATATGCGAATTTGTAATTCGTCATCAACCCTTCAAGTGGAGAAAAGTACTCTTCCTAGATACGAGAAGTTGACAACGCACTTGATCTAGTCACCAGTGTTATCATGAACCGCTTCCGACGACTGGTAGAGAACTTCAGTTTTTCGAACATTAATCATAAGGCCAGAACTGCTATAAAATCGATGTTACATTGCAGGGCATCACGACACAGACTCGGCCAGACAACATCGTCAGCATACTGAAGATCAAAAATGTTTCTTTTCTACTTTTTGTAGTGATAGGGGAAGCATCCACTCGGGAGCCTGTTCCATAAAATAAAAAATTGTCGTCAAAAGGAACCGATCCTAATATGCAAATTAGAAATTAGAGGTAACAAAACCAAACATATACAAAGATTTAAATATCTGGGAAGTGTTTTAGCAGAGTAAAAAAAAAGTACGACGCTGAAATTCGAAGGCGCATTGGAGTAGCGAAAGATGCCTTCCAGAAGCTAAGCAAAGTATTAAGAAACAGGAAAAATTCGTTGGGATTTGAGAAGACGGTCCGTTTATTTTAAACAGTATTTATTTTGTTTGCCGACTTGCGTACTCGAGAAAACTTTGAAGATGCGAAGTCGCGATATTTGTAAATGGGGACTTAGCAGAACAAAAAAAACAGCGCGCTATTTACTAACTTAAGCCGAAAGTACTCAAACATTGGAGAAAATTATTTAAATATGTATCGGGGAACCAAGAAAACCAGCCGTCAGTTTTTAACTAATCTTGTATAAAATAAAAAACTCTACCCAAATACCTCCAAATTCGAATGTATATATATATATATATATATATATATATATATATATATATATATATATATATATATATATAATAAAAAGGCTTAAACACTAATATTCCATGGTCATAATTTATTCCATTGGAATCGTAAATACGATCAATTCATCAGACCTACAATATATATATATATATATATATATATATATATATATATATTAAAAAGAAAAACAGACCACTTTAAGGTTCCATTATAATAATTTATTTCACCAGAGCCATTTTAAAGGACTCCGGATCATCAGATAGCACTTCCAAAAATGAAACTAAAAATGAAATGAAAATTGATGGGTAGTGTAATTTAACAGAGTGTAATAAAGTGGTTAGAGAGACATGGTAGAGTTTAAGGAGGTTTTAATTTCATATCTCTCTCAATCATACTTAGTATAGGGGGAGGAGGAGTGACCAGACCTTGACCTATTTAAACGGTTAGCTTAACGGAAGTGATATATTGAAATGAGAGGGGAGAAGGGAGAAAAAGGAAAAATGAAAAAGAAAGAAGAGGGAGAGGGGAGTAAACAGAAAGAGGCTGTAAATGGGTTTTACATATTTAGATGGTTGGTAAGTTTTAGCAATATATATATATATATATATATATATATATATAATAAATCCTAAAAAGCCAGGAACAACCTACCTAGGTTTCACCTAAACGGATTCAGCTTGCCCTGAAGATCCGTTTAGGTGAAACCTAGGTAGGTTTTCCTAGCTCTTTAGGATTTATTTTAGTTATTCCCGCTCTACTTACCGTATTGAGCACTCTACGTTTTAGTTTTAGTACTCGCTTGGGTTTTTTTTTCCTTTGGACTAAAGACTTAAGCCACTGGACGATTATTTTCGCCCTGTTTTTAGTTCTTTCTTTTTTTTCCAATTTTTTTCTCGGGTAGCGATTTGTTTTGACATATCTACAAATTGTGCGATCCGAGTTTTTTTCCAACTGAGTATTAATATATATATATATATATATATATATATATATATATATATATATATATATATATATATATATATATTGTCATCCACAGACAGATTGTTTCGCTGTATCACAGCTCATCAATGTAGCAACGTCCGGTTACAACTATCAAGGATCAAAACATATCTAAATAAATAAATATATATATATATGTGTGTGTGTGTGTGTGTGTGTGTGTGTGTGTGTGTGTGTGTGTGTGTGTGTGTGTGTGACAGCAAAATTTTCCAATTGTTAGATTGTTCAATTAAGTTTTAAACCGTTGTATCTTAAAAATTATTAAAGATATCTTACTGGAATTCTCCGAAGTTTTTATAACACTATTGGATTCTACTCTGAGCAATAAGAATGTATAATTACGATCCAAGCTTAACAGAAGAATCGTGATGAAATAAACGAAAATGATATGTTCATCATTAATTAATCATAGGTAAGGATCGGAAGCTTATGAAGGATTGAAATAGAGCTCATATATATTCCAGGATCATTTTCCAACATATTCAAGGTGATCTTTGCTCTCTCTAACCTTCTAGCTTCCTGTCCTGGAGTAACAAGATGCCCCATAGTTTTCACGTATGATTTCATTTTCAAGTTCATTTTCACTTGCACTTTGGACTGTCATAGTTGAAACTTCTCTCTCACGTGCCAAACGTCTTATGAATTAAACTGGAATGATGATCCCTCTTCCGGTTGTGACATGCTGATCCAGTTTCCCTCTCTACTGTTCCCTCATTTTTTAAACTTACTCGTCGTTCTCTTGATGTTTCTTGAATG